TCTAATAAATCAAAAAAAGAATGTTTCCTTCGCGAGATATTGAATTTCTAAAAATCATTCATCTCCCATGAAATTTGCGAAAATCTTAGATTATTTGGAAATTCCATATTGTGCTAAGAAAACATTCTTTTCATGTGAAATTCTCGGGATATTCTAGTCACAACTATATCTATCTGTGTATCAAATTTTAGATTGAAATGCCCTTTATTTGATTTGTTGATACTAGAGATATGCACGACCAATTTAAGTTCCGAAAGCAGAACTATGCAGAAAAAGTTGTTTCAACCAGATCTACAGATTATAGTTAAATATTCTATAGTTTTAAGCTAGTCGTTGAGTCAGTAAATTAAAAAATGAACATAGAAGAATATTTTTAGATGTGATGTGAATGAATATTAGAATAGTTTTCTCTAGATCGTGACCAAAAAAAACTTGGTCCTACACATCTCTAGTTTGCACATACTGCGTCATAGCTGAAAATTCGTATAAAACAGTTAGAATTCTGAAAGGAAGATCTAAGAGTATTTGCATATCTGACCAAGATCTATCTTATGTGTAGAATCATCCGAACGGAAAAGCGATTTGTCACTTGAAATGGTACTTTCTTTGCATAAAAATTTTCTTATTAAATGTGGTTTTTCTTTTTCTTTTTTGATTTATAGTTAAATAATGAAAGTTATGATAAATATTTATTAGAAAAAATGCGACTTGATGATCTACGTGAACAGTTAGAAGTTGAAAAAACTGATTATGAAACAAGAAAAAGACGTGCTTTAGATGTTGAAAGTAAATTGTTTATTTTTTTCTTTTAATTAAATTTAAAAAAAAATTCTGATTTTATTTCTCTTTCAATTTATTTTTAGACAGACCAATATCTGTACCTATTCTTGAAGAAACATCTCCACCACCTTCTTCTACATATGATTTTCTATCGAATACTTCAAATTATAATCTTGGTGTATCAATGTCTGAAGCCGATTATAATGATTTATTTAATAGTGATCCAATACATGATGAAACCATACGAACAACAGATGAAACTCAATTAGCAATTAATTCAATTGTCGATTGTGGTGTTATTGAACAACATGAAAATCCTATAGATATATCCGATTCAACAAATTTTTTCTTTGATGATCTTGATATTGATAATCATCATCAAGATAATAATCAATCTCAAGATGATGAAGCTTCACGTGCCGTCCAAAATTTGCTCGGCTTTTCTTGATGTATAAAATAAAAGAGATAAAAAAGAAGAAAAAAAAAAAAACAAAATGATTCTTTCTTTCTTTTTTTTTGTTGTTCTATTTCTTTAACTTATATTTCTATATTATTATACTTGGACAACTCTTGTTGTGTGCGTGTTTATTTGCCTGGCTAACCTGGTTTGTTCATTTTCTTTTCTTTTTTTTTTTTGTCTTCATCATCATCGCTTACTATTTTTCTATTACATTTCCCATTCGACTGATAGCTCAGGGATGTGTATTTTTTTTTTCTGTGTGTGTGTTCCTTTCTGGTGAACCGTTTAATCTTCGAAAAGAAAAAAAACAAAAAGTATAAGAATTCAATATGTTTTGTTTTTCTTTTCTTTATTCTTTGTCTGTGGTTTTTTTTTGCTATACTTATTTGTCTTTTCTGTTTTATCCTCGTTTGATATACTTGAGTGTTGATAAAACAGAACAGATTCGGTTGATTTTTTTTCAACTAAAAGAAAAGAGAAATATGTTTTACTTATTTACTTTATAAGGATAAATGATAATATAAACGAGAATAGAATTAATAAAGTATTTGAGAACAGTTTTATTTGAAATGTCCCAGATCCAAGAAAAGAGGTTTCTAAATGATATAAAATGATGAAAATAAAGGAAAACATGATGGTCTATAAAACTAGATGACAGATTATGTCCAAATACAGTAAAACATAATGTAGTAATACGGATTTTTTATGGTCGTGTAAAACGCTGTTTCCAACGGTGAGAATGATCGCTCTGAATTCTTCAAAATTCAAAATTTATCTAATAATACAATTAAAACTTTAAGTTCATTATACACGCTGAGTGATAAATAGTTGTGTAATAAAAACATTGAATATTTCAATTAAGTAGACTAAATTTTCTTTTTTTGTTTTTTAGTGAAGAAGATTTGTTCAAAATTGTTTTTTGTTTCAAATGAATAATATAAATCAGTACTGATTTGAAGTATTATTATAGACTTCAATAATTTTTTGTTAAATAAAAGAAATATATGTGAACAAGTTCATAAATCATTTTTGATTCTAATCAAAGAAAATATTAAAAATAAATTTTATTAATAATCTGACCGTAATCCATCTAAACAAGAGTTATAAAACTAGTTTATTTCAAAGATCAAGAATAAAACTATTTCAAATATTAAAATATCCAACTCAAATTTTTATAAGAAAGTTCCTAAGTCATGTCTAAACTAGTTTTACAACTCTATTTTATATTTGTATTAATGTCAGTTTATTAATAAACTTTGTTTTAATGTTTTCTTATTATTTTTCATGATTAGAACCAAAAATGATTTATGAGTTTCTCCACATGCATTTTTTGTTATTTAAGGTCACGCCTCAAAACTCGATCTTGGACCAAATACATTCAAGAAGTATGAAACTTTCAGGATAATGTTAGGGCTCTGCTAGAGAGGCTAAGGTAGAGTTTTCAATCCTACGATATGATATCTTCATGAGATATTCAATAAAGAAGAGTGAAATATAGCTCATTTGGCAACCTTAAATTCTCTGTGAGCCTTTATTCTATATATTTAATTTCTTTTTTGTTTGTGTGTTTGAAAGAACATATCAAGATGCAGGGCATGACGACAATTTTTTTATACTCTAACTTTTAAGTGGAAAAAGGAATGGCAAATTCAATGTTTTTTAAAGCTCTTAAAAATTGCCGGTCGAATTATAAAGTACTCTTTTATATAATAATAGCAATGTTTATTTCAAAAAAAAAGAAACTTTGTCATGCCCTGCATCTTAACATACTTTTTCAAACATATATAGAATCAAGATCTACAGAGAATACTGAATTGCTCGATTAGAAAAGCATAGATAGAGAAAAGGACATCTTTTTCAAGCAGAAAATGATAGAAATAATCTGTAATATTTGAAAAAAAAACGAGGTGCCAAGTAAAAAAAATATCATGTTTTTTTATGAAAGATTAGATCTCGAGCTATTATATTTTTTTGACGAAAATTGACTGTTTTTGAGGGGAATGATCTTAACAAAACGTTAAATGACATTTCAAATTACTGTTGATTTATATTATTCATATGAAAAAGAAAAAAAAACAAATTTTGAACAAACTTTTACCACTAAAAAAAAAGAAAATTTAATTTATTTGATTAAAATCTTCGGTGCTTTTAATATACACCTGTTTCTAGTTCAATCTAAATATTTTTCTTTTTGGAAAGAGAAAAATGAAAACAAACACAGCAGACTTAAACTTACGAATGCATTAAAGTGATCAATGACAATGTCAAGTCATATTTGTATAAAAATGTTTTGACATATAACAATGAATATATCTTGTTCAATGTATGTACTACTTCGTAGTACTTAATTGATAAATATAATCAATTAAACTACACTCTTGATCATTCGATTGAATGTGATAATGAAAATCATTGGAGAAAAGTTTTCAATAAATTAATTTCTTTTGAATAAAAACAATTACTAGCAAATATCTGACTACTTGCTAGAGTTATAGAATATTTTATTTCTTTTAATATGAATTAAATAATAATAAATAGTGTTGATCATATAAATTCTATATTCTTTTTTCGTTATATTCAATTTGAAACTAATATACTATCAAGAAAAAAAAATAATGCAAGTATCGAATTAAATGTCATGTGTAAATAGTATTTGATTTCTTGATTATAAAAAAAGATGCGATAATAATATAGTCAAAAATTAATTCTTATAGTATCAATCTTTTTTTTAAATATGAATAATTTCTTACAAAACTCTTTAAAATATTTATTTTTTCAATTGCAAATTTTTAGATTACTTTTCTTCTAAAAGAAAAAAAAACCAAATCTTTATAATATAATCTAAGTTGTTAATCAATTATTGGTGAGTTGTTGTTTATAATCAATAATTTGTACGTGTCAACTAGGAATTTACTATATTAGAACATCTGCTAAGAATATTATCCTTCCGAAAGACATATATATATGTAAACCATTCCTATTGATTGCTATGATTTCCTATGTATTAAACAGTAAATATTATCTGTTTGTACAACAATCAGTAATTGGAACATACCATAATAATAAGATCTTCAATAGCTTCTTCGTCATTAGCGGTATATATCAAATGATAACTGAACTCATTTTTCCATCAGAAATGGTGATATAATAGATACTGAAGGGAATCGCCCTTTTCATAATATAAAATACCAAAGTATTATTGATGATAAACACAGTCTTAATTATCTATAGAGAAAGATTAATTGAAATATTTGCAATTAAGATGATGTATTTCAATATTTTTATAGAATAATTTTCTAATGTTTAGTTTAATTTCGTATCAAGAAAAAAAAAAACCTACGTAATTATACTCATTGAAATGACATTAATTTATAGAAATCTTTATTAATAATATGTCTACGATGTTGATTACGTATTGTTATTCTATCAAAATATAAAATGATCATTTCTTTTTCTTTTTCTTGTTGTCTAGTTAAAAGAGTGAAGAATATGAATAACATTCAATGATTGCATGACTTTTATTTGAAATATGGTTATGAAGTTTTTTTATTTTACATTTCTTTTCGTTTTTTTTTTTTTTTATGAAAAATTGCTCAAGTCAAGTTAAAAGTACTTGTTCATCAATGTTATAATACATAGGTCGACAATTGAAAACGATCGATGATGTGTCGATCATTATCATGTGTGCATGCACACATATATGCGTGTGTAAGCACTTACTATGTATGTGTTACACAAGCATATATGTGTATATTGATTGTCAATCGATTTGTGTCATATTCAATGATGAGATACGTTTATTTTCGAGTGGATTGACATAAACACAAATATTTTCAAGTCCACCTGTACTTGTATGACCAGATAGATTACCAACAATCATAGATTTTGTTTCAGATGATATTGTAAAATCAATATTATCATCTTTTGTATAAGGTCCAAATGAAAGTAATTCACATTTTCCATCATCTTCTTTATTAATACGACCACAACGCATAAACCACATACAACAAACAGTTAACCAAAGAATACAAACTGTAGCAAGACCTATAAGAAATATACCAACACTTTCTTCAGTATCAAATGATGTTGATGGAAACGATAGAGCATGTAAAGTAATTGTATGTAATGGAGGAGATGAAGAATGAATAAATTCATCTTCTATTTCAGAAGATGTTGATATTCTAAAAATAGAAAAAAAAAAGAATAAAAGTTCGATTGTTTGTTTCCTTGACTTATTATATATATTAATATACTCTTCATTATTCGAAGATATTGTACTAGATGATATTAAAGATAAAAATGAACATTGATAAGTGACATCAACATGATTAGAATATGAACGTTCATTACAATTTAGTTGAGTAGATTTTGCATAAAATCGACAAGGTGATCGATTATTGACACAATCATTATGAATTGATTTTGTATATAAATCAAAACAATTTTCATTTGAATAATTCAATAATGTAAGACTTAAATGATTTAAATTATATGGACATCGAATACGATAATATTCATTATCAGTTGATAAACGAATATGTCGTAAAACAATAATTGATGAACTTTCAGAATTTAATAAAAATTTTCCATTGTTTCGATGAAAAATTAATATTAATAAAAATAACATTGGAATCATTGTTTTAGAGTTAAATATGATAGACGTATATGAACAAAACGATAATATGAATATAGTCAAATGTCTCGGTCTATTTCTCGCTTTTACTCAAACCATAAAAAAAGAACGAGAAAAAAAGAAAAAGAAGGAGAGTAAGAAGAACATTAGAGCTATATGGTTGACTTCTGATTTTTATAATGTGCTCGTGGACAGATGAGAAATGTAAAAGACAGTAACGAACGCAAATGCAAGATAATTACATAGGGACAACTAATGTAAATAGATAGTCAACAATACTATGTTCGATTATATTATTATTATTATTTTTGTCATTATAGACAAAAAAAAAATAATAAGAGTCTTTGAAATACATTGATTGCATGGTTATTGATTTTAAATGTTTGTATGGTTGTAACTTATGATTTATTCTCTCATATAGATTGTGATCAGTTGTGATAATACTTTTAAAAAACGTCTACATTTTTATATAATAGATAAGATAGATTATATGTTTGGTTTTTGATAGTTTTTTCTTTTCGAATTGGATTTGATTAGGATTTTTTTTGTTTTGATATCAATTGATAGAGAATTTTGGATAGATTTTATGGATATATTCTTCTGGAAAGAATCCTATATCCAAAATTGGTATCATTTAGAGTATTGGATGCTACCTGAAATAGCATTGCTCAATAGAAAAATCAATTTTTATTTAAATTAAACTTAATTCGAAAATTTTTTTCAGTGTATCTAGTGGCATGCTAATTTTGATAAATTAAATTGTCTCTTCTACGAAAAATACAATTAAAACAAAATGCTGTCTTCCATAAATGGAATCATACTTTACTTTGGCAATTTTACAAAAAACTAATTTTTTATTTGTATCCATGAATTACAAAATTTTAAGCTTTACAAAATGCTCGCATTGATAAGGTAACTTCTAAAGTGATAAAATTTTATTCAAAAGTTTGCTTATGTGCGCCTAAAAGAGAAGTCTGTTTCTGTACTTGATCATATCATGTTTCAATCCCATGAAAAAAAAAAAATTTTAACAATCATAAAAAATTATATTTTACACTAGTGAAGTGCTGGATAATAATATTTTTAGTGGTATCCAAAACTTTGATTGATACATATAGTTTTTTTTTTGAAAAAAAAACATTAATAAAGTCTACAGACACTTCTTTATGATTTGACAACAGAATGAAAAATATTGATTCAATCCAATTTAAGCAAAAAGTCTGTCAAAACTCGACAATTGAATCTATCTCATTCGTTTTGTCTTAAGAACATCGTTCAAGATCAGTAAAGCAGATTTCCTCTGAAACCTTTCCATTGAAACTTAGTAGGTTAGTCAAAGTTATCAATTAAAATTAAAATTATTTTTTTTTTTTGTAATTTATCTGAGAGATAGCATAATTTTGTGTTATCATAATAATCTGATACTTTTATAAAGATCTTCATGATGTACATCGCTTCTATTCAAAAGTAAAGACCGTAACAGACGTTGTTTGATATATGATCAAAGACCGTATATCAATAACGTCTCGCTCTAATATTTGAAATCCTTCCTTATTGCATTTCTGAAAATTTTAAATAAAAGGATGAATGAAGAAAATTTAAAGATAATGATTTATAAATAATAATATCTGTACTTTTATTCTTCATTCGAATCGAATATCAATATATGAATATAATGGGTGTCTCATAATATATGGTAACACTTTGCATTTCATATTTTAATCTCTATATACATTTTATAAAAAAAAAACCAGAATGTACCACAAGATGCTGCGTAGAAAGCTCTACAAACTAAAGTTTATTTTAATTGTGTATATTTTGTTTTCAAAATAAGCTAAATTCTTTGCGACCGGTTTTCGACGCTACGAACATAAACATTTTTTTAGTACATTTTCTTTTTTTTATTTCATCAATTAATGAATCATAGTTTTTAAATTTATCCCATTGCATATGATTGATAAGAGTATCTCATATGTAATAATCCAGAATATTGAGATCAGGACTATTTAGTGGTCATTTATAACTGTGTATAAGACACATGAAATTTTCTTCACATGATGTCAATGATTCCTGATATGTATGTGTTATCTTGTTGACAGATGAAATCGTCGTCTAGGAGTCTTTTACCTTCAGATTGTGCCTGTGAAAGAATAACTTCAATATAAATTTCATAAAATAATGTTTTATCAGATTTAAATATAATAGGAGACGTAAGACTATTTTAAGATGGATCTAAACATGTCAAGTTTCTTTTCTGGATATTTGACCTTTTGGTTGATACGCTCTGTCTCGGCTGCTTCTTGTCAACTGGCAGTATAAACACATTCTAATGAGAAATATTGTTCATCAATAAATAGGATTGTCTTTCGTCGATGAGATTAAAAAAGCGAATTGATCGTTTATCAAAAAAAGTTCTCACTGTTGAAAATCGATCGCACAAAATTTAGCTTATTTTGAAAACAAAATGTACACACAATTAAAATAAGCTTTATTCTGTAGATTGTAGAGCTTTCTACGCTGCATCTTGTAATACGTTCTGTTTTTTTAAAAAAAAGCGTATTTAGAGATTAAAATATAAATAATAAAGTGCGATCATTTATTATTGTTTATCCGTTACTTGTCTATGATTGTCATATTATATCAAAATAATGATCAATTATAATTGTGTAGATTATCCAAAATTTAAAAAAAAATTAATTCAATAGTTCTATATTTTTATTTATCAAGAACAACAACACACTTTCATTCTTCTCCAGTCAATACAGGAGCTAACGGATACATAATATTTTTCTTTGTTGTTAATGTTGTTGTATAAGTAACATAACGTTGAAAATCTTGTTCATCATACATAACATTTTGTAAATAAAGTCCATTAATATCAAGAAGTTTATCTTCATTATTCATAGACAAATATTTATTTGATGAATATAATCGTTGTTCAAATTGTTCAAGTGTTAATTGTTCTTGTGCTACTTGAATAAGTTCTGTTGTTAAACGTCGTACCATTTGATAAAGAAAATTTGTACATGTTAATTGTAGACAAAAATTAGTTGAAGATTTTATTTTTAAATTTGAAAATAAATTTGGAGCTTCCGATAATTGTATTCCTACAATACGATGAGTATCTTTTAATAGATTACGAGCTTCCGGTAATGTAAATAATGAATAATCAATTAAATGATTATGAACAAGTGATATAGCTGAACGAAGTAGAGTTAAAGAAATTGGTGATGATAAATAAGTACTTAATGGTTGTTCTATTATTGTTATTGATGGATCTGTCTGTAAGAAAAAATTTTATTATTTTAAAACAAAAAATGAATTTAATAAAAAATAATAACTTACAATAAATCGATATAGATATGTACGATGTATAGCAGCTAATTTAGGTTCATATGCATCATGAACAAAACGTGCATCAAGAATACGCATTGTTCGTTTTTTTTCAATAAGTATTCGATTAAGATTAAATTTAAACCATGAAATATTTAATTCACCTGTACCTAATTTTTGTTTACCAGGTAATTCAAAATCAATAGTCTATTTAAAATAAATAAATCTAATTGAAATATTTATTTTATATAGAATTAAAATATTTACAGCAGTATTACATAATGAATGTACATTACATTCTGTATAAGTTGAAAGTAATATTTTTGGTCGTCGAGCAGGACAAAAACAAAGTATCGCTTTTTCAAGAATATCTTGAAGATAATTTGTTGATGATACCGGTTTATTTAATGCAGAAAATGTTCCTTTTATACTGTATCCTCGATAACATAGATATACCAGGATACGCATTGATATCTAAAAAAAAAAAAGAAAATATTATATATTATTATTTGTATTCATTAATATTAATATCTTTTCTTCTTTTTATATATTATCTTTGTAAGAAATGTATATTTTATTGATCGTATTTGTCTGTTTATCTACAATGTGTAGTACAAATGGATATCGAGGTCCATTTCGTCGATTATATCCAACAGGAAAATCAACTATTCTCGAAGTTAATGATGATTCTGGTGAACCACTTTTTCTTACACCTTATATTGAACAAGGAAAAATTGAAGAAGCAAAAAATTTAAGGTTAATTTCTTTTCTTTCTTATTTATTTAATCTTTTTTTTGTTTTTGTTTTTTAGTTTGGTTGAGTTATTACCATTTAAACAAGAATCATTTTCAGGTTATTTAACTGTTAATAAAGAATATAATTCTAATATGTTTTTTTGGTTTTTTCCTGCACAAAACGAAAATAAACCCGATACACCAATAATGCTTTGGTTACAAGGTGGTCCAGGTTCTTCATCATTATTTGGATTATTTTCTGAAATAGGTCCTATTTATATTGATATTAATGGAAATATACAATTACGTCAAATAACATGGAATAAAAATTATCATTTAATTTTTATTGATAATCCTGTTGGAACTGGTTTTAGTTTTACATCAAATGAACAAGGTTATGCACGTACACAAGAAGATGTTGCACGTGATCTTTATTCAGCATTAATACAATTTTTTCAAATATATACAAATTATCAAGTAAATCCATTTTATGTCACAGGTGAAAGTTATGCTGGAAAATATGTACCTTCGATAACATATAAAATTCATGTTGAAAATCAAAATCCACAAGTAAAAGTTAAAATTAATTTAAAAGGTATGACTATTGGAGATGGATTATGTGATCCAATTAATCAATATATGTATGGTGATTTTCTTTATCAGGTATTACGGCAAATAGGAAATGTTTTCTAACGAGATTAAAAACTCTATTTTAGATATGAAGATTTTTTCTATTTTCTAAAACTAAACTGACTCATTTAAATAATCGAATCGTTCGAGATCTTAATTACTAGTAGATGAGCATTCTCTATAGCATAGTCTTTAATACCGCTGATGCTCTTCCATTCACGATCAATATAGTAAAGTTTTTGCTCTATTAAATGATAGAACTTAAAAAATAAACTATAGTAAATACTTGTCTAAGTGTCACATTTCAAAAAGAAATTGATTAAAGAGAAATTGACAACTGCACAGAAAAATATAAAAATTTAGAGAAGTAAAATGTACTGAAAAATTTTTAGGATTTTACGAAACTTTATAAACGACACGAAATCGTACTATTGTTTTATGATAAAATAATTCTAATTTCAAAATTAGGACAATTGATAGTAATACAATTATAATAAGGGTGTTAAATTTATGAATCTCGCGTCCGATCTAGAGAAAACTATTTCAAAATATAATCTATTACTATTTTCTTTATATAGATCGGTCTTATTGATCAAACTCAAAAAACTTATGTTGATTTACAAACAGCACTTATGCGTTATGCTATTGAACAAGAACGATATCTAGATGCATTTCATTTATTCGATGCTCTTCTCAATGGTGATCTACTTAATACAACATCTTATTTTTATAATATAACTGGTATCAAAAATTATTTTAATTATTTACTAACTAACATCCCAGAAGATCAAAGTTATTTTGTTTCATTTATTACTCATCCCGAACGACGAAAACAAATTCATGTTGGTAATACATCTTATGGTAGTCAAAGTGATATTGTCGAAAAAATGTTACTTAATGATATGGTAAGAAACAACATGAGTCAAACTTTTTTCATTCATGCATATGAAGTACTTAAGTATGTTAAGCAAGAAAGTCATGTGATATGGGCACATCTTGAGACTTTTTGACGCGTTCAAGCTTGCGTAACGGTAATCAAAAACGAAATACTGCATAAAACAAACAATACGTGCTGCACATATTACCAGCATTAGTCCGTCCCAATCACAAACTAGCAATAATAATACTCCATTGGATCTCATCATCAGTTGCAACGATAGAAGAAATATGTGTACTACGTGAAACCATTTTTAATTAAAAGTTATAGATCTTTTGATTGGTTCTATCCTGAGATACCACTGTAGTAAACGCATGTTTTTCATGCGGCTCATATACAACAGCAATGTCTGATATTCTTATTTCAGAATAGATGCAATCGAAAAATGTGAAACTCTTACAATAAGCTATTCTCGTCAATACCTGTTTCTACGCAAAGTTTCAAGTCGAAATTCGAAACTCAGTTCTCTCAATATTCTCTAGAGGGACCGCAACACTGGTAAAATATACAATATCTCAACGGTAAGAAATTATTAGCCTGGATTCTCTTCAGACTATTCATAATTCATTAGAACCTGTATGGCGTACATACTCCGTAGTCGAAAACGATGTGTCACTTAGAAACATTCCGTCGTGAGTGATCATATACGCCTGTTCTCGCAGTTAATATATGGTTAGGCAGCATGTACGGAGAGCTTAAGTGATTAAGCATAAAAACTCTAGGTCAGACCGACCGTCTATTCAGAGCTGCAGCTAGTATTAGTTCTAAGGAAGATATCGGGCTAATGAATTTGACATTAAGCAGCACCCTATACCGCAAGATATAGGTATTCTTTTTCTTGTATGATATTCATAAGATCAGCACATGAATTGTTTTAATTGTGTACATAACTCAAATGTTTGTCTATAGAAAAAAATCATGCACTATTAATACATCATGAGATGTGCGCATGGAAAAAAAAAAAGTTCGACTAAGATAGATGAATTATTTTCTTTTATGAAAAAAAATCCTTCTAGATGCAAAGTATGGCTTGGAAAGTAGCAGCTATAGCAAATGCAAATTATAGTGTAATGATTTATAATGGTCAATTAGATATTATTATTGCTGTACCATTAACAACGGAATGGGTTAATGAACTTAATTGGATTGGTACTAATGAACTTCGTCAAACACAACGAATAGTCTGGAAAGTTGCTGCTAATGACCCTGAAATTGCTGGTTATATAAAAACAGCAAATAATAATCGATTTTTTCTTGCAACTATTCGTAATGCTGGTCATATGGTACCATGTGATCAACCACATGCAATGCTTAATTTACTTGAAAGATTTTTATCTACACAACCAAAATTTCTATGAAAGTAAAAACAAGAAAGACATTGATTTGTTGGATTTTTTTTTATTATTTAACATTCATTCATCTTTTTTCTTTTTTTGAACACCAATTCTTTTGAAAACCAAAAAACAAAAGAATAAAGATTGTTGTTTTTTTATATGTTTAAGTATATAAATTTTTTTGAAAAACAAATATTCGAATATACAAATAGATATGAGATTGATAAGGCAACGAGGTAAAGAAAGATTATCTGGATAAGACAAAAAAAAAAAACAACATTTCACAAAGACTAGAAAATGGGCTCGTAGAAATATTTTTTTATTTAAAGACGATCATGAATATCTTCTTGATCAATCATATTATTATCATATACACTGTTATTTAATGACGGAGAAGATTTAGCTGCAGCAAGATCGAAAGATTCTTCCAAAAATTTTAATATCATTTCATAAAGATATTCATATTGAGCCTAAAGATAAATAAAATAATAATAAAAAAGAATGATGTTCTTCTTTCTGGTAACATACAAGAGATGTTATCATAGCAACACGTTGTCGTTGTAAGGCACGTACACGTTGAAATATATCAACAGCATGTTCACTTTTCAGTTGGTCCAATAGCATAGCACACATACAAAATATTGAACAAGATGGACCACCATTTCTAATGAAAATCAATATTAAAAATTACTATATATCTATATATTTCTCACTTATGTCTAAAACTATTCGATTACATTAGCTTATGAAACATATTAGCAGTGTGTTTCATCCAGTATGAGAGCCGATGAGGTGACGTCCCTTCGCAGATCGGATTAAATCTTCCGGAGTGTGTGGTTATTGTGTCATAAGTTTCGTTTTGTGAAGTATGTATATCGCTCGATTAATTCAACTAATCCGAGGTATAGCATCTAAGGCTGTTGCTCTCCGGTCATTTTGTTTCCTATAGATCTTATTAGAACGACGAGGAATGAAAAGTACGGTAGGAAACTAATGAAATTAGGTGTAGATCTCGTCCTCATCGTCAGCATTCTCAATACTACGAAATCGATTGTTCCAGGAAGATCTGTTCAATATGCAAGAGCTGTGTTATCCAAAGTGTAAATTTACATATACCCTTGACATGTTGATCTGGCTCAAAATACAATCTTATACACGTTAATAATCTATAATTAGTTACCCTTCGTGACTCACTATATATCGTGAAAACTGATGGTGTGTTGAAATAATATTTCGAAAGAAAATCTATCGATTCAATTATTCAAAAGGTCAAAATAACATGTTAATTCAATTATCATATTCTATTCCAATTGCACAATTATGAAATATTAATACAGTCAGTCATAAAAATAACAAGATCTTAGAAGAAAAAATATAATAACAAAATTCTACTAGTATTCAATTTCTTATTTTTAATTTGATTTCAAATCATTAATTTTTCATAATCATTATTCATTCTTTTATACTAATCCTGTTATGACTACCTAGAGTTTATTATTATATTATACATTCGTAACAAGTAATCTTTCAGATTTGCATTGAGAACATCAGTCAATCATACGTAATTGTTCTTCTTATATAGAACAGATTCAAATTTCAAGAGAATATAATGATTTAAATTTAATTATAAAAACTCTTAGACTTATTTTTTTTTCTCATTTGTCTTAATATATATTATAGAATAAATTCTAAAAATTTTTATACCCGCAATGAACAGTAATATATCGATCATGATTAGTTGTATGTTGTCGTTTATTAATATAACCAATAAAATCAAATAAACTATTTGTTAAAATACTTGGAAAACATTGTCCATTCTCAAATTCATCATTTGTACTTATAGGAAGAAGATATTCAAAATGATAAATTGTTTTTGATAATGCTTCACGTGTATCTGTTAAACAAAATTCTCTTATAATCATTTTTTCTTGTATAAATTCTTTTTGTATTAATTTTAATAATGTTGTTGAACCAATTTTCATTGTTGTATCAAAATCATTCGGATAATACATTGGACATTTTGGTGATGACTAAAAAGAAAATCAACAAGGATAATAATAATAAAAAAAACAAAAACGAAAACGAAAATTAACTAACATCACTTATTGTATGTAATTGTACAATACAATTTGAATCATGTTCAATAAACATTCGCCAAAATTCATGAATAGTTTCTGATAATGGATCTTGAGTTATAATAAATGAACATTCATGAGAATAACCCTAAATTTAGTTAATAAAAAAAAAAATTTTTTTTTTTGTTCGAAAGAATATTAAATCTTACTTCAACAAATGATCCGTTGATATATGGATGTCCGAGTATACGACTTAAACAAACACGATTACGATCATCTATATTAAAAACAGAAATATATTTAATACTATATTTCAATGCATAGTCTTATATGAAATATAACATCAAATGATACATAAAATAGACTTGAATGAAGTATGAAACATTCTGAAGGGAGAAGTGTCCGTAAGTCTTATTTCTGGAGTTATACTCATATTGCTGTAAATATTAGTGTATGATACGATATATACCAACAAATCAACATATGATGATATTTCGACGTGAAATTCAACTCACAGATAAGTCTTTTTGTAATTACAATGCTTTCTCGACTGAGACAAACTTTCTTCTCGTAGTCTTGACAACTTCTCTTTCAATATCTTGTGAAGAGAATCTTTTTTGCTAGCTGGTAGTTCGCGTACACCGTGTCATAGACTGAAAAAGTTTAGTAAAACAGCTATAACTCTGAAAGAAGGATATGGTTATCCTTTCGAAATGTTTGATAGAACAATGGAATTTATTTTATATACTCGCTTGCTCGGAGACATCCTTGGACATTCATAGGTCTTTCACCAGGTACCTGAATATAAGCATATACTTAATAATAAATAATCTAATGCATAAATGAATCAGTTAGAATAGTTTCCTTTGTGAGATCGGAATTAAAAAGGATTCGACTTGTCTATGTTTAGCAAATGTCAAAGAAAAAACAAAAATAAAACGTTTTCTTTTGTTTTTATAATTTGAATATTAATTAAAAACTTAGAATCTTACAAGGTACTATTTTAGGATGTCGATTTTTATCAATATTATCCGATAAATAAGCATCACGTTGTGAAATATTTTCAACAGGTAATAATAATAATTTCTAAATAAAAAGAAATTCAATTTAATTTTATATCAAAATTTAATTTTGTTTTCTTTTTTGTTCACATACATTATACTCCGCAATCAATAAATTTTGTTTATTTTTTTTTAAATTTGTATATGTTGATCGAAATTTATTTGCTTCAATTCTTGTATTCCCATATAGATAATATTCAAGTAATGATCGATATATAAATACATATTGTCTCTATGGAAAAGAAAGAAAAAAAGCTATTATCACAATTCCTGTGAGATTAAAATATGAAACACGATGTAACTACTATTACTAATCACAAGAAGATTGTTGTATGTTATCTATTTCGGGACATATTTCTTTATCATCACTTTACTTATTTCTCCAAAAGTGCTATAAGAAAGTAATTTAATCGGACATTTGTTGACATATTTTTATCCGTATAGTTCAATACTTCTTTTCGATCGTGTTTCACAAAAACAAAACAAAAGTCTTAATTTTGTTCTACTTTTTTTTTATTTTCATATGATAACATACCACTGTTTGTACCATTAAACTACGTTCACGACGCATTTGTAATACAAAATTATATATATCAATTTTTCCTTCTTGTTTTATTTTATCAATCATTCCATCAATTGCAATATAAGTACCTGTACGACCAACTCCAGCTCTATATAAAAAAAATTTTTTTTTTTTGATATAGAAATATTTTGTTTCTTTTTCTTTTTTTCTTTTGCTTACGTGCAATGAACAACAATAGGATATTGTTCAGAATTTGTTTGTTCATTTACTTCATGTATTAAATGAAGTAATGTATGAGAATCACTTGGAACATCCATATCTTTCCATTGAGTATAATGATATTGAATAACAAGACGTGATTGTTGATCATCATTTATTGAACTTATTGTTGATAAAGATAGAGCATCATCAATTGGAACAATCGATGATGATGAAGGTGAATGCATTTCTTCGTTAGTATGAATCTTATGAAAATAAATAAAATTAAAAAAAAAAGATTATTAAATTTTTGGAATGTTTTTTCTTTTATTTATTAAATTTACTTTAGCTAATTGAAAATAACGTTTATCATAATCACCTATAGATATTACATCAACACAAATAATACGATATGAACCATAAGTTATTGTTTGACCAAGTTCAGGCCAATATTGATGACATTTTGTCTTTGAAAAATAAATGAATAATTAAAAAAAAAACAAAAGTGAACATTCTAAATTGAAATTTACCATTCGTGATGCACCTTCAATAACATTTGTTAACATAACAATAGATTTTATTTTAAGTTCCCATATCATACGCCATAAATCTTCACATGTATCAGGTTTGGGACCTATAATTATATTTAATTATATCTATAAATTATTCATAATATATACATTACCTTGTGTTGCAATAAATTTATTTGGACATTTATAACCCTATAGAGAATGTCAAAATAATATTTATATAATCAAAAAATATTAAACCTAATTAACAAACCGAAATATAATTGCCATTGATATAATCTGTAGCTGGATCATCATTTAATAAACTAAGAATAACTCGTGTAGCATCAATAGGTAGAATATTAAGAAAACGATTTTTTGATGAAACAATTGTTCGAGTTGCAGCTGCACATGGTAGTTCCTCAAAATTTGGAATACTCTAAAAACAAAAATACAAATATAATAAAGTTTGATCATGTTTTCGATGTGTCATATCAAGAGAAACAAATTTTTTCTATGATATAGAGTTATCATATGAATTTCTATGGAGAATGTAATTACAATTGATGAGTTTTATTATATCTCTAAGGCAATACTTGATGCACACAATAAAGTTAATCGAATTGTTTTTTTTAAATCCCATCCGAAAATAAAGCTT